AAAAAAATAAAGCATAAATGACTGTAAAATATTTTCTCTTTTTGATAAGGTATACTATGTAACTATGGCCTGATTTATTAACAGTTAAATTGTGTTATAGAAAAATAGGTCATTGTGACACAATTTTGTTTTATTGTACATTGTGTGTAACAAATGATCAAGATTTATAAATAAACTAAAAAGAATATATTTTTAAAAATTCAAACTTTTTAAATATCATTTTATTCTCCCTGATTTTTATATTCAGCATTATCTCTATTTTGTAATTTTTATGATTGTTTTTATATAATTATTTATTATCATTATTTTAGTAATCTTTAATTCTTTTTCTTTTTTTTTGTCCTAAGTTTAAAAAAATGCTAGCATGGTCATTTTTTTTACTTTAAAGTATGCAAAAATTTGAAATAAAATGTTTTTTAGGGGGAAAAAAATTGCCTTTGAAAATATTTTTGAATTCTACACGGAAAATTATTTTAGCATTATTTTCATAGTTTGCAATTTTTATCACTGAAAAGAAAAGAACTTTTTAAAAATGCACTTTCCTTGCAAAAACATTCAGCATCTATAAATAAATTTGGAAAACTACTTGACAAAAATTTTAAATGATATAATTAAAATGTTTAACTCTTTATTAACAAAAAGAAACTTAACAAAATTTGAGATAGCATTATTAGTTATATTAAATTTTGTTATTAAGTTTTGTATAATTTTACCTGTTTAAAAATGATTCAGTTTAATAAATAAATATTTTAGTTTATATTATTAAATATATATTATTAGTATATATTATTAAATAACAAGTTTATACTATTAAATATAAAATCAAACAAATTTAATAAATAAAAGATTTAGTGTTGTGTACAGACCTGTAAACCTAAAAGTGTTAAAAACTTAGTTTTAGATTTCTTATTTCAGAAAAACATGGAGATTTTACTAAAAACAGAAGAGTTTTTAAAAACTGTCCAAAAATGTTAACTCTAAAACATGATTCCTTGAATTCACAACAGTTTTTTATATTATGGATCAATATTATTAACTCATTTAAGGTCAATGTTTCACTTACAAACAACACCCAATTTGGTAAACATGTTATTGAAAAATGTTATCTCAACATTAATAAAATCATGGCCTGAAGTTGTGAAATAGGTTTTCGAAACACATGCAGATTGAATAGGAAGTATTTTCAATTGACAGCTCTTTTAGTGGAGAAAGCTCAACAATTTATATACAGGTAGAATCTTGTAAAAACTGGCAAACTTGGCGGAAGACCAACATAAAAATTAACTAGGAGGACACTAGTTATGAACCATGAGACTGAGATAAAGAGCTCAAGAACAGAGGTCTCCTGGGAGAGTCAATAGTTCTGTGTATAGATCTCTTAATAAGTGTAAAATTTAAAAAAAAAACAACATTTTACTTAACCAAAGTATTTCAAAACAAAAAGTATCTTTTAATGATTTCAAAACTGTAACTGTAAAAAAGCTTTTTTACCAAAGATGCCATGAAAAATAAAATAAGTTTACTACTGTTATATTAGCTACTCAGGAAACATGTTTTACAACAAAATATTAACAGATGCATAAGAATTTAATTGAACATTGTTTTAACTTTTCATCTCAGATGAAAAAGTAAGAAGGTTATTCTTTCCCCATTGTACTTAAGTTCAAGGTTAATACCTGATATTTGATGCATCCTAAAGGGGAATTTCTAAGGGAGACTAAGCAATTTTTACTATTAATACACTGCATACATAGATAACTGAACAAAAACCCAGCAAATAAAATCTCAGCCTATCATCTGAAAACTGAACAAAAACCCAGCAAATAAAATCTCAGCCTATCATCCGAAAACTGAACAAAAACCCAGCAAATAAAATCTCAGCCTATCATCCGAAAACTGAACAAAAACCCAGCAAATAAAATCTCAGCCTATCATCCGAAAACTGAACAAAAACCCAGCAAATAAAATCTCAGCCTATCATCCGAAAACTGAACAAAAACCCAGCAAATAAAATCTCAGCCTATCATCCGAAAACTGAACAAAATCCCATTTTGATAAATAAAAAAAATCTCATATCTAAAAAGGAACAAAATTAACATAAAAAACTCAGAGTATTTAATTCAATTTTTTTCTTATTTGTGAGACCATGATTTTGTCCATTTCTGAGATAAGAGGCTGGAATTTTGTTCACTGGGTTTTTGTCATGGATTCATAGATAAATATGCTTTTCATCAATGCATATGGTAAAATGAAAGTCAGTTTTCTTTTCAAATTTGTTACAGTTTTCTGCTTGATACTATTTCACACTCACAAAATAAAAATACCAAAAAGTAATTTTTAATCATGAAATTTCATGCATAAAAACTTAATGGATTCTAGCAACTTTCTTTTCTATAAAAAAACTTATGATGGGCCTTGTTTGACTAGTAAAACATACAGATGTACATCATAACATAGTGAAACATTTATACATATATAGAAGGCTTTATTATCAGAAGGATTTGGTTGTTTGGCAGATATATGAAAGGAATTTAGGTAAAAATTGCAGTGGTAAAAATGGCAACAGTAAAAATGGCAAAAGTGGATAAATAGGTAAAAATGGCAATGGTAAAAATGGCAAAAGGAAAAAAAATATAGATGAATATCTCACAATGAGTTTATTAAAATCTTGGATACAATACATAATGGAAAAACATAAGTTTGTCAAATTAAAAAGAATATTCAGCTAAAGCTCCCCGCTCCCATTAGATTTTACTTTTTAGGCGATTACATCTGAACACACTGAAAAACTTGGGAGAAAACAATTATAGGTCCACTTGATGACGGCTTCTGGTATTGAAATCAGAAACCGACCATGAGCGGTGTTTATCGGAAAACAGTTCCTCGTCAGTTTTGTACACTTAGAGTTGTTTTTTTTTAATTTCACAAGTTTGAACACACGGGAATCAGTAATGCAGTTGAATAAAAAAACAATATATTGGATACATTATTACTATGATGTTTAATATATTTAAATTTTGTTACATTTCTATTTATAAAAAAACTATTAGACTATTTAAAAAATAGAATAAAGTATTTAAAAATGTTTTCAATATAAACTATTTAAAAGGTATTTTCACACAAAAAGAAAACATTCCAATTATAAAAAATAATAAACTATTTAAAAAATATTCCAATTATAAAAAAAAAAGTTTTATTTGAATGGGATTCCTAACCTTCGGCTTTGCGATTTTTCCAATTCCGATTAATCGTCCCAACACTAATATATATATATATATATATATATATATATACACACACACACACACTAATACACTTATATATATATATATACACACACTAATACACTTATTTTATATATATATATATATATATATATATATATATAAACACATCTAATCCTAATGTCAGCTATCAATTATAAAATTAATTATAGTCATCAAATTCACTTAAACACGCTACGATTTGTGCTTTTCCTGCAATTAGTAGTAAGAGCCTATTGATCCCCTTGGGTCAATAAAACTTCTAAAAATTGACATCGAAAATTTAAAAAAAATGTTTTTAATACTAGGAGCAAGAACTTAGCCCATTTTTAAAACAAGAGGAGAAGCCTAGACCCCCCCAATAGAGTAAATATCTATTTAAAAATATTTATTTTAAAATATTGAGTGGGGACTTAGCCCTATTTTAAACTAGAGGGATGGGAGCTTAGACCCATCCTTCTCGAACGGTCATAATTTTCAGTTGTCAAATTGCCATTTTTTCCTATTTATCAACTTTTGCCATTTTTACCGTTGTCATTTTTACCGTGACATTTTTTTCCGTTGCCATTTTTACTGAGCACCATATGAAAGTTTTTGTAATGTGGTTATTAAATGTTTCTGATATTTATGTTTGTCTTGGTAAATGAATGAATTATTTAGCAAGTGATAAGTCTATTGTTAAAAGGTCATATTCAATATATGAAAGAAATATTTGAGTAGAACTTCAGTCTTCATTCCAGAAGCCAGTCAAGTCAAACTGCTCTCATGTGTTGAAACAATGAAGATTCTAAATTTCCTGCCAGTACTTTTTACAAGGAAATCATGAGAAATTAGGTTTTTTTTTTTTATTTCTTGTGATCATAAAGTCACTACAAAGGGAAGGCAGAGAAGGGCATCTCTAATGATTTATAGTGAGTAGTTTAGTTTTGTAGTCATTAAAGTTAACAAACCAGTTAAAAACTGACTAAAGGTTATTTTGGATATCAACTGCCATTTTGATCTTATCAAACTGATCAGAGTTACTATAGAGACAGGAGTAAATGGTTGTGTCATCAGTGTAGATACCAAGTCAAGAGCTGATGCTATCAGAAAAGTAATTAATGAAAATTAAAAACAAGTAGGACCAAGGATGGAGCCCTGGGGTGGGGACACCTGTATTAGTATGAAAGGAACTGGAAGAGTGCCTGTTCAGGATTACTTTCATCTTACAATTTGATAGAAAACATTGTTTATCTAATTATTATAATTAAATAATTTTTTTAAAATATTTCTTTCTTAATTTGAGAAGATATTAATATACTCAACATTTTCCAGGCAATTGAATAGTTTCTTTAAAACTATACATAATGATTGATCCCTTTTTCATTTATTATGAGATAAATAAAAAAATATATAGCAGAAGAATTTCTTTGATATTTTTGAATTGATTGATTCCTATATCAGAGCTTATATAAGATTTGACCTAATTCACAAGTTATCATTTCTAATGTAATTCAATTTTTTATTTATAAATTTGAAAAAACATTAATATACCCAACATTTTGCAGACAATTGAACAGCTTCTTTAAAACAATATATAATGATTGATCTCTGATTCATTTCTCATAAGGTAAAAATATATAGCAGAAGAATTTCTTTGATATTTTTGTGTTGATTGATTCCTATATCAGAGCTTATATAAAATTTGACTAAATCATGAGATGGTATTTCTAATGTAATTCAATTTTTTACTTGTAGGAGACAAAGCAACTGTACCACCCAATCAGCCAACAGTGCCTGGACTGCGACCATGGCAGTAGAGAAGTTTTTATGAATCCATGCAACAAACAGCTAAAAACACAACATTGGTACTTTCAGCATGCCAATGTTACAGCCTTACAGATTGAATGGACAGCAACTTGATTCTACATTTGGACTTTGGGAGACTTTTCAGGGCTTTCTTTCTTTCATACTTATTTCTTTTCTTTTCTCAATTTCCACTTATTTTTCTATTTCATGATTCTTTTTAGTTTAATTTCTTCTTTCTTCACATATTTCTTTTCTCTTTCTATTCTCTTATTTTTTTATCACTTTCCCTTTATCTCGCTCCTTTTACATGGTTTTTCATAACTCCTCGTCTTATCTTCAAGAATTCCTTTAATAATTTTAAGTTTTTATTTTTTTAACTATCATCCAATTAAGACAAAAATTTCTTTTAAAAATTGAAATTCTATAAAACAAATATTTCTTTTTTTTTTTTTTACTTTTTAAGTTTTGTATCTATATTCCGCCAGAAAAATTTTTAACTCTGTCATTACAAATTTATTAAGTTCCAAAAGATTAACGCTTTTCTTGTCTTCCCTTATGGATTCCTTAGAAATTTAAGTCTCCAAATTAATTGCTATTTGTTGTTTGTTCATTATCTTTTCAATTTTATTCAAATTGAATTCATATTATTTTCTTGTTTTGAAGAATAACTCTTTGAGAAAATAAATTTTTTGAAAATTTTGACCAAATTTTTATTTCTTTGTTTTAATTTAACTTTTATTTTCAAATTTATAAGGATTTCAAATTCTGAATTTTTTTAAAATGAAAATTCACCATTTTCATGTAAAACATGAATTTTAACTTTAAAAAATACTTTTTCTTTTTTTATTATTTTTAAAACAATTTTATTTGGACATAAAAATTTTAAATATAGCACAATATAATGATATTTAAAATTTGAATTTAAAAAATGCTTTCACTTATTTCTTTTAGAAATTTTATTTCCAATAAAATTTTGTAACTTAATTAAATGTATATAAAATTTTGTGATTTACACATTTATCAATGTTTTTAATAAAAGATTATTAATAACATTTTGCTGAGAATTTCATTGAATTTTTCCTTCCACTGTTCAAAGTTCATTAATAGCATTTTATGTATGACTTTTGCTAATTTACAGGTGGATACAGAAATATCATATGACTCTTGTTTTATTCTTCCATCTTTTACAAGGCAAGTGAAGAATTTTATGAACTGTAGTGCACATTTTACAAAGTCTAGAGTTAAGATAATTCTAGCCTTTGGGAAATGTGCAATGCAGGTCATAAAAGTTGAGATAACTCAAGATCTATAAGATTTCTCTCCTATCTTCTAATCCAGTGGTCCCCCAAATTTTTTTCTCTGGGCCACATTTTCAGAATGAAAATTTGCTCGCACATCACCAAACTTTGTGATAAAAAGTATATTTAAAAATAAAAAGCAGAGAGAAGGTTAAAGGGAGATAACTTCAGATTCGAGATCTGAACATTATTATTGATAACTCTCTCCTCCAATTTGCAGACCCTAGTTGATATATTCTTAATACTTGATAGAATGCAAAAAATAGCCCAGTGATAAAATCAATTAATAATTATTGATAACTATTTATACTTGGACTCATGCTTGCAATTACAAGTGATCCATAATAATATCTTAAATTTTGAAATCATATTTATTTTTGGCATATGATTTTTTTGAAACTGTTTCTAAATCATTGATTGACTTTCATTCATTCATATTTAGTTAATTTTCCTCTTTGGTATTCTGACCATGCTGGAGAAATTTCTTAACTGACAAAAATTTATAAAAGAATCTGGTACAAGACAAAAATAGTGGGCCACTCAGTAAGAATTGAACTCACTTTACTAGCACACTTTTTTTTTCTGGTATTGGGTAATTTTGGTTGAGTTTAGTCATTCTTAGCAAAATCTCATGCTTAAAATTTGTAGATTCACTTTGCTAATCAAGAGAAATAATATTAGACCTACCCATATTTTCTAATTAAGGGTATTTTAGTACATTTTATTAATGTCTGTACCTATCAGCACATATGCAGTTGAGTTAATAAGTGTTTTCATAGATAAGAATCTAGGAGAATTGTATCAGCCTTCCTCTACTATAGAATTATTGTTTTAAAGAAAATGTTAATTTCTGAAAAAAGCAAACAAAGAAAGTATCAGGAAATTACTGAACCCAATTGACATTCTTTTTCTATCATTGAATGACAGAACTGACCGCTGCTGACAAATCCAAAAGTGATATTGGGATAATAGAAATTTATTCCTTGGTCAGGAGATACATCTATTTTAAAGCTTCAAACTTTATAAAATGGTAAATAATAAGGATTTCCTTACAGTTGGTTCAATTATCTTAATAAATTTATGAATAAAAAAATTGTTTTCCTATTTATTTTTTCATAAATTGGTAAATGATAAATCTCGCATTGAATTAGTTTTAATTGTATTAAATTTTAGCATGTTTTAAATATAAAATTATTCTTGTAAATAAACAATTTAATTTAATAGTGTTTAATATTTTTGTTGTAAATTCTCAAAAACAAAATAAATTTATAAATTCACTTATGTTTAGGTTTTATTACAATTCTAATCATTGCTTTTTAAAACAATAATCATTTCCAAGGATGTTAAAATAATATCAGTGCCAATGGAAAAACCATCTTTTTGACACTCCATTTTTTTTTTGCAAGTATTAATGCCCATGTATACCAAAACACTTGGTAATTGCAAGAGAACACTTGGTTAGTGGTAATTATGTTTAAACCTGAAAACCATGCATTTGCTGAAAACACTAACATTTTTGTTGCACTAGTTATATGGAGAATATATATTGAGAGAGAACAATAAAAGAACAGAAATTATGGAGACAGAAGATGATGATTGACATTGCATTTAATTTTTTTAATCAAAATTGACTGGAAAGCAAGAAACTGAAAAAGAGTTCCACAAGCAAGAAGTGTGAAAGACGTGTGCAGTAGCTAATAATATATGTGTGTGTATATATAGCATATTATTAGCTACTGCATAATCTTGATATATGTGCCACAAGAAAACTATTTCCACTTTGTCATACATTCTTCCATATATATATATATATATATATATATATATAGATATATATTTGGTTGGATTGATGTGAGTTTGTGACCCTGGGTTTCACACTTTTGCGATCGGCACAAACTCACATCAATCCAACCAAACATGTTAGCTCTATCTCTGATATTGAGCGCTTTCTAATAAGTACCGCGCATATAATATATAAATAATTATATATATATATTTATATTTATATATATACACACTTTTCACACACACATATATATATATATATATATATATATATATATATATGTGTGTGTGTAAAAGTTTTCTTCTGGCATGCTTCATCCAATGAAGTCCTAAAGGACAAAATACATCACAAGAAAATTTTTGACTTTTGTCATACATTTTTTTCCCCAATATTGTTCTTGAGATATAAAAAATATATATCATTATCTCATATTCCACCATCAAGTTCTGTCTATTTAATTTCCAAATTAGGTATTTATAAAAACAACTATTGATGTTAACTTTATCAAATAACTTTATTTACAGAATTACAATTAGCATTAGCTTGAATGCTATCACATATACACACTAAGTTATAACATTCTTGCTCATTTCCATTGTTTATTGTCATGCTTGGAAGGAAAGTGTTTGCCCATCTAACAACCCTATAGAGGTTGCATCATTAACCATAGGTTGTTTTTCCTCAAGGACATTATTCTTCATGTTTGACAACCACCATATTCCCTAGATCTTGTCTCTTGTAACTTTCTCTTCATCAAAAATCAAATCTCACTTGAAAGGAACAAGATTTCAAGACATTGATGTAATCCAAGAGAATGCTACAAGTGTTATAAAATAAGACATAGCTCGGCTGATTTACAGGCAAATAAACTAACACACTCAAGAGCGAGAGCCAGATGTGAACGGGACAAAGCCCCATCACAAAATGACCAATATCTTCGTTTACAAATGTTCTTGATGCACGAGTTCCAGTTGAAAAATAATATTTAAAGTGTTCTATTTTTCGTACAATAAAAATGCTTCCCTCCTAATTATACTCACTTTGTTTTACGAGCCTGTTAAGCCATAAAAAAAACGCCATAAAAGGGGTCACACAGGAGTACAACAGGCAGTGAACAGGTGGCCAGGGAAGAGACCTGTCACAGTCAGGCCGAGCAATCAGCAGCAGCCAGCAGGAGGAGCGCTACCCAACCAGCGAGAACTACTATGAGAGATCAACCCAGATCTTCAACCGGCCTATGAACTATACCACAAGGAAGCTGTCCCAAACCCACACGTTCCTGTTAAAATAAATCACGTAAATCTATTTCTGCTGTTGCCGTATTTCTTTCTTGCAACCAAACGCTTGTCTATAACACAAGGCAGCTGCTCACTATCCCAAAAACGGCATTCCAAGAATGCTTCCATAAATGGAAATGATGCTAGATAAAGTGTGTGGCATCAGAAGGAAGCTTCTTTGAAGAAGATTAAATGCTGAATTGATATATTTTGTAGTTTTCTTTTTATAGCACCAGTCCTGATAGTTTTTGATCAGATCTTGTACAGGAACTTGAATTTGAGGAATTATGAGATGTGTGGGGAAAATGAAATAAAATCAATAAATAAAATAATAATAATGAATACAAAAAATAAATAAATTCATTTTCCCAATGATACAAGTTATAAAGAAACCAGAAAGGGTTTCTGGTCACATGTGGCATTTTTTAACTCCATTTCTGGAAAGGACAGAATCTTTCTCTTTCTCCTCTTGACTTCAAGTTGTGAACCAGATGGTAATAGCATTCCCACTGGGGAATATTAGTTTTCCTGGTCCACTGACAACTGAACTCTTTCCACTTACCACAATATCATCAGATGTGCTTTAGAAACACTACTCATAAAGTTTGGTCTTCCCAACTCAGTGTGAGGCTGATTTGAACTCGACCATCTTTACCCGTTTATACCCTTACTTCCTAGAAATCATTTCAGAACCAAAATAAAAATAGACATACTCAAGAGACCTTTTAATTTTATGTCAATACAGTCAATATAAAAAAAATAAACAACCATAACAGAGAGACAAGTTTTTTATATGATTCTTTATTTTTATATTTCCAAATGAAGTGCTTGTAAAACAACTACTGATGTTAATTTCATCAAATAACTTTATTTATAGAATTACAATTAACGTGTGTGCCACCCATGTTACCCTTTTTCCTTTTATTCTCCTCTTGTCTTTTCTCAAGTCTTGTCTTATAT